CGAGGGAGATGCCGGCGGGCTTGGCCTGGCCAGAAGCGGGGCCTGCGGCTGCGGCTGGAAGCTCTGCAGCGGCGGAGGCGCCTGGTACACGTTTCCGGGGGCTGCGGGCAGCTGTGCCTTGCTGGTGCCCAGGAAGTCATCGAGCATGTTCGGTGTGGATGGGAGCCCCGTGGGCGCGCTGGCCTCCGGCGCTGGGATGGCCGGCGCGCCAAAGGGGGAGTCAAACAGGCCAGGGAAGTCATGGTCCTGGGTGGTGATCAGCTGCAGCATGTCTGGAAAAGAGCCCCGATAGCACTGAGGACGGATCCTGCACCCAGCCCCGGCCCTGCCCAGCCACGAGAGGGGACACGCAGGGCTCGGTGCCTCCTGCCCCCCACCCCCGCTGCAAGCGGGGAACCTACCCCAAGCATCCTGCATCCCTGGGCACGGAGCAGAGAAACCCACACACCCCAACCTGCTGGGGGGATACCACGCACCCCAGTCCTGACCAGAGATGCAGGCACAGAGCACTGTACATGATAACGTGCCCCCTGCAAGAGGAGTGTGCTGCAGACAGTAGCCAGCTGCCCTGGGCTGGGAACACCTGGGCTTCCAGCTGCCCCAGTGCCAGAGGACTGGGCTGGGGCAAAGGCCCTGTATCCCCATCCCCCATGCACCTGGCCCAGGTGCCATCCCCCCAGCCTGGTGCTATAACTGCATCTGCCAGGGGAGGGCACCCCAAGCCCAGCTGCTGCAGGGAGACCCCGGGACAGGGGCATCTGGCAAAGCCCCACCCCTCCCTGCCAGACCCCGCCAGGTACCACTGTTGTCCCCGGAGGAGCCCCCCCGATCCTGCGGCCCAGCCTCCTGGCTGCAGGGCTGGGCTGGGGGGCTTTCACCCCCAGGCCTGCAGAGCAGTTTCCAGAGACGTTTGTTCTGCACGGCAAGAAAACAAGTGAGCTGGGCTCAGAAAGCGGCTAGCTCTGGGGGGGAGCAGAGCAACCCCTCCGCTAGTCCTCAAGGGGAGAGGGCCATTGCCCGTCACAGCAGCAAGGGGATGGCAGGGGCAGCCTGGGGGGAGACCTGCAGTCTGAACAGCCCTTGCCCAGGCAGAGGGAAGGGCAGGACCACGATCCTCTCCCCGCGGGGCAGGCGGGGGTTGCAACACAGGGAGGCTAGAAATCATGCCCAGGGCCACAGAGTCAAGCGGGGACGTGGCCCCCATCTCACTCTCCCACGGTGTCCCCCTGCCTGAGCCCTGGCCGCCCGGCACCCAGCAAGAGCCCAGGCGCACACCAGCCCGCTTTGCGCTCCTGCTGCCACGAGCGCCCCTCGCGGCGTGCAGCCGGGGCGTGGAGGGCAGGGATCAGGATCGGGGCTGGCACCCTGCAGTGTGGGCCTGGCTGGGAGGCGCCCCAAACCCCGGAGGTCACAGTCCTGACGCCCACCCGCCCTCGCTGCCCGGGGCCAGTCCCCCACGCCACGCCGGGCGGATGGAGGGGAGCCTTTCTGCATGTGCCCACGTGCCGCCAGAGACGGGCGGAGGGCTCAGCCCAGGCACCTTGCTGCAAACTGGGGCAGGCCTGCAGCACCCACGGCCGGGCAGCTGGGGTAGGCACAGGAGCAGGGCAGGGCACGAGTGCCAGCGGGCACCGCTGCCAGGATGCCCCAGCAGGCTGCACTGCCCAGGGGGCAGCGTGCAACCCCCCTCGCCATTGCCCACGTGCCGCCAGAGACGGGCGGAGGGCTCAGCCCAGGCACCTTGCTGCAAACTGGGGCAGGCCTGCAGCACCCACGGCCGGGCAGCTGGGGTAGGCACAGGAGCAGGGCAGGGCACGAGTGCCAGCGGGCACCGCTGCCAGGATGCCCCAGCAGGCTGCACTGCCCAGGGGGCAGCGTGCAACCCCCCTCGCCATTGCAGCCTGGCAGCAGGGCCGACCCCGCCGGGTACCTTCGAAGGCGCACTCCATCCCTGCAGCCGCGCCCGGCCCCGTGCGGGGAGGGGGCCACAGGCGGCGTTAGA